CCTGGTTGTGATTGTGAGTCAGTGTGTGCGTGTGTGTGCTGAGTCACCACATCTGTGTCACCTCTCCTTCCATACTCTTCTCCACCCAGTCACAGACCACTGCCTCTTCACTCTTCAAACACACACACAGAATTCAGGAGATCGTTTAGGATCGTTCAACATGTTTTCACTCGTCGTTAATTTGCATGTTTGTTTGTAAAAGTGAGAGGATGATTCATATGTGTGTGTGTGTGTGTGTGTGTAAACTGCATCATAAAAGTTGATGTCAGTATTTCATGATACTCTTGATCCATATCACACACTAAAGACATAGAAATTGATTTTAATTTGTGTTCATTTTCATATCAAGCATCATTGACCTAAAAGTATGAGTGGCTTCCATTGTTCTCAAATTAAACAATGACATAACCGAAACCCTGATAATTGGCCCCAAATCTCTTTCATCACATTCAGACCTCTGCTTGAATATCTGGGAGGTTCTGGTGTAGCCTGGATGTGTGTGTTTTGACTCATTGATAATTCAGCCCGTAGCATCTCATGAAGGATTCTCATCTGTACTTCCTAACCCTTATTTGTCCTTTACTTTACTTCACAGCTGTCAGAATTGTTATATGATCTTACACCATATTGATTACTGTAACTTCCTGCCAACTCTTACACTCCACTCATTAAAATGTTTAAGAGGTTTATTTTTCTTAAATTGCAGATCATAATGCCGCAATTGTCTACCATGTCAAAACTTCAAGTTGTCAAAAACCCATTTGTATGCACACTTTTGTTCAAATGTTGGACACCTTTGATTCTTTATCGTGCTGTTTTTGTTACATATCCATTTATTTTTGTTTTTTTTTCTGTCAATTTCTTTTGTTCAAAAAGCGAGATACTTATATACTTTAAACAATATGCTTAGTTATATACTTTACTTTAAAGCCATTCGATGCTTCGTTAAAATACTTTAAAGCCATTCGAAAATTCGTTTTTCCCCAGCAAATTTTCCCCAAGAAATATTCAAATGTTTGTTAGTACATTATGTGCTTAATAGCATTTAAAGTTTTTAATTAAAAAATTTAAATTCAATTTTTTCCACCAATAGTTTTGAATGAAATAGTTCTATTTTGCAGGATCTATATTTTATGTCCCTGAGGAATCCTGAGTCTCTTATTGACTTTACTCTTCAATGTGGAAGTGCGCTTGTTTTTGTAGTTGTTTTAGAACTTATTGGAGAAAAGACTAGGAATAATAAACGGCAGAAAACGGTCAAAATACTTGCTCTACAAACAAGTATTCATATATACAGACAAAGCAGAATAATATAATAAGAAAATATCAGTTTGCAAGATCAAGCAACGAGCTGTTTTTAACGTCTAAAAATGAATGGTTGAGAGCGAAGTGAAAGAGACCGGAAGTCTCAAGCCAAAAATATTAAAAAAGCCTGCGCTCGCTTTTAATTATTAGCCCCCCTGTTTATTTTTCCCCCTATTTCTGTTTAACAGAGAGAAGATTTTTTTAGCACATTTCTAAACATAGTAGTTTTATTAACTCATTTCTAATAACTGATTTCTTTTATCTTTGCCATGATGACAGTAAATAATATTTTACTAGATATTTTTCAAGACACTTCTATACAGCTTAAAGTGACATTTAAAGGCTTAACTAGGTTAATTAGGTTAACTAGACAGGTTAGGGTAATTAGGCAAGTTATTGTATAATGATGGTTTGTTCTGTAGACTATCGAAAAAAAATTGCCTATAGGGGCTAATCAATTTGATCTTAAAATGTTTAATAAAAAAATTAAAGGCTGATTTTATTCTAGCCCAAATAAAACAAATAAGAGTTTCTCCAGAAAAAAAATATGATCAAACATACTGTGAAAATTTCCTTGCTCTGTTAAACACATATTTTAATATATGAAATATAAATAAAAGGAAATATTTAAAAAAGAAAAAATAAACATTCAAAGAGCGCAAATAATTCTGACTTCAACTATATATATATATATATATATATATATATATATATATATGTGTGTGTGTGTGTGTGTGTGTGTGTGTGTGTGTAAACATCTATGTAAAAACATAAACATTTTACTTGACAATTCTTAATTTCTCTCAATAGACTAGTATTCATTCAAAGTATTCATGTTTTTTTTCTTTAAAGGTCCAAATTTCCATTTTTTTCCTTTTTTTTTAAATTATGACAATTGAGCAAAAAAACAAACAAACAATCTATTAAAAACAGAAATTCTCAATTGGTTTCTTTATTTTTTTTGATAATTGTGTATAATTTGAGATTTATATACAGTGCTTAGCGAGTACACCCCATTTTGAAAATGAATATTTTGCTCCATTTCTCAGTGAATATAGTCAATGTATTTTGGTGCATTTAAACAAAACAGATTTATTAAACAGAAATATTTATTAAAATAATAGTTTAGTCACCAAACACATTTAGAAATTGAAAGATAATACAATTAAATGTAAAAAAAATTACAACCTACAAAATTCAACTAAATTTTCTATTTTCTTTTTTGTTTGTTTGTTTCCCTTGATTTTTCCTCTGTTAAATTTGTATTTAATATTTTTCTATAACATAAATTTGGGTGTACTAGTTTTTGGACCGTTATCATGAGTTATTTAGTTAGATAAGCTCCAGATTTGGCTTCAGTACTGACTAATCTAATGTCTATGCACAAATATAATATTGTACAGCTTCTTATTAAAAATTTAAGTTTAAAAGATTTGTGAGAGGTGTACTCATATATGCGCTGTATATATATCTATATAATGGTATTTCTTTTAGATTTTTTTATTCAAAGTCAATTCTAATTTCAATAATTTGAAAAGAAAGAAATCTGTTTTTTAAATGCAGCAACGATAAATTAAAGTAATACAAACAAAAAGTAAAGACTTATTTTTTTGTCATTCTTGCTGCATGTAAATTTCTTCTCTTCAAAGAACGCACTAAGCCCAGTATGTAAAGTCCCTTTAAAGAGCATGCCTTTGCTGTTACGCTTATTTTTGCACAGGGACGTCCTGGCCCAAATCATCTCCTGCTCTCAGAAGAGGGAAATGCAGCGTTTCCAGCCTGCTGCGATAATAGCGAAGTGCAAATGAGACGTGTGGGACAGCAGGCGATCTCAAAGAACAGCTCGAGATTCCACAGGCTTTAACTCTCCGAGCGCATGCATCCTCTCCGAGCTGACTCACTTTTTCTCAGCCTCAGCGCAGGCTATTACCTGCCCCTCACCAAAATGTTGAGAGCGAATGCGACGACACAGGCCGTTTATTGAATTTGTCAGCGTGATTTCCATGTGACATTATAATAAGGAGGAATCTGCTGTGATCATGAAGCAGGCTCAGGTTTTGCTCCGACTGGCCAAGCTCAACTTAAGGACGCCCACAGCGTAATGCAATCATGTCCAGAAGAACTGGACGATTTACTGGAGCGTTTTTTTTTTGTGTGAGAATGAATGTGCTCAAACCGATTTCTGAAAACAGTAGTCTGCTGACAAACTCAAGCTATAACCTCAAGCAGGGGAACTTCATTCAGTGTTCACAAGGCTCACATTGACTGGTGGACTTGACAAAAAGCAGTCAGATTGGGAGCAGGATGAAGTCATGTCTTTAAAAAGTGATGCTTTGAAAGAGAAAAGGAACACTGCTTTGCATTAATGAAAGGAAAGGGTGTATTTACTGAACCGCTTATTAACATAAACCACATATATAGTGTGTCTTGCATTGAGTTGCACAACATCTTTTGACAATTGTTTGACTGTGTCGCAAAACCCAAGACTTTAAATATAGCTCCATTGCTGCTGGCTCTTGAAACAGGAGGCATTTCACAAGAAGGCTTTCTTATTCTCTGTTATATTAGAGCAGGCATGTGCTCCAAGCCCTGCTCAGTCATGTCCGTCCACGCAGGGACGCTGAAAATTGCAAGAGCAATAAGGATTTTTAGGGGCATTATGACTGGGTTAATAAAACACAGCTGCCCCTAAAAGTCCCTCATTTTTCTTGCTGCCTTTTGGGTCCTCTTCCTAGACTCACATTTTAATAGTTCAGTGGGCGGCTGGGTGTTGCTGAGAGCTGGACACCCTTTCCCTGTCCCCAGGGAAGTGCGGACATGGGGCTGCTGTATCGCTTCTTGCTCCTGATGGCTGAAAGCGAACGAGACCTTGTTTGTCAGCCGTCCAACAAGTGAAAAGTTTAAATTAAGAAGAGAGTGAGGGGAATTGTAGCCTCCCTCCTCCCCTCAAGCGTGCATGCCAGGGGTTTATAAATTGCCCTTATAAAAAAAGGGGTTTGCTTTGGGATTTAAGTGGGTAGCTGAGAGAGGTGAATGAGTTCAGTGCATTTCGGAGCGGGATTCTTTCCTATTCGGATTGGTATTTCTGTGTTTATACATGCACTACAAACATGCCCATTAGACAGAATGAGGGTCCTTCTTTCAATATTACAATCATAAGCAACAGAAATATTTGTGAAGTCCTGTCTTAGGCTCTAATTCCCACTTAGTTTTATAATTGGAGAAACAAATCACTCTAAAATAGACCATAACAATGTGCTCAGGCAAAATGAGCCACGTGCACTTTAAGAAATGCCAAAAGTAGATCTTTGGCAACATATATGAAGATGTTTAATAGATTATAAACTACTACTTTGGATAATTTGTTTTGCTATATTACGTAGCCTATTGGAAAATAATGTATTCTTATTGGTGTTTAATAGATTACACTCTAAAAATGCTGGGCTGTCACAATCCAAAAACAGACAAGAGTTGGTATGAAATCCTTTTGAAATAAAATAATTTATAGATTTATCCCAGCGCTCGGGTTTGTCCACATCTGACCCAAAATTGGGCAGAAACAACTCAGCATTTTTAGTGTTTAAAGCATTGATGTGATATAAAAGCTTCCTTTGTATCTCTCAAACAGATGAATTGTATTTTTTACAATTATTTATGTGGGCAGTGTACTAATTCAGTCAGAAATAAGTGAGGATGATAACATGAGCCAGAAACTGGGACTTTGTAGGCCAGTTGAGAGTAAATTTAACTACTCACCTTGCCCGCAAAGACCCAACCTCTAACACATTAATGTCTTTAACCCTAAATATACTCAATTTAGCATTATCCTTTCAAAATTATGTATTGTATTATTCTTATATCCTATATAAACTATTAAAAGCAAAGTATATCTTGCCAGTTTCTTAAATAAGACAATAATTCATATTAACATTAGTCATGAAGCTTTTAATAAATCATATAGGCTATACCTTAAAATACATCTAAATGTATCTATCATTCATCATGGATAAAAGAAGCACATAGTCTTTTAACTACAATAGATTAATTTACCTCATCTGAATGTCCTCTGTTGCTGTCAGCCAGCCTGTAGTTTGATTTATGTCCACAGTCGTTATAAGAGCAGTTGTAGAAAAGTTTGTCGAGCGTACGGTCCAATTCTGGTTCCGACTGCTGTCACAGGAATGAAATAAAGATAGAAGTCTTCGCCAAAGCCAGCAAGTTTCTTCTGGAGAAGATGTGCGTGTTTCTCTTTTTTCTTTTTCTTTTGGGTGAGGCAAATGTTCTCAATATCCTTTTAACTTTACTCGTCGGCCGAGTAGTTGTGAGTGTCACCGCCGCCTTCTTAAAGGATTTACCTGGATTCCGCGCTCTCGCGTGCCATCATGCGCGACAGCAGCAGCGGCGGCGAGCGAGCGGAGATCTCGCGCGCGGCCGCGTCTCGTGCTGTTCCCAGGACCTCCCCAAAATGGAATTCTAGGTAGCACGTGCATTTATGAATGTGTCACACTCACCTACTGTCTAGCTTTTGGTTTGGCGCATAACAGCTAGAAAGTTTATAATTTTTTGGTCATCTCGATGTGTCATAAATGCAAAATATCTGCGTGGTGTCAGGAGATATCATTTATGGCAGACATGCACTAGGACAGAAAAAAGAGGGCAGTGTGTTCTTTCAGATTTTAACATTGCCTGTTTCATAATTTTCCATATAGTCTAGCTGCGCACTGTTACATATGGCAAGCCATGTTAGCGGTAACACGCCCAGTGTTATCGTCATAATTGCATTTTGACTAACAGATAAACTTAACTATAGACATCTCCAATACAATTGTCAGTAATAATATTTAGGATATACGTGGAAAACCTTTATTAATATCTAACAGATTTTATTATTTGTGTTTACATTGCCCTCCATTCATTTTAAATGACAGAGCTTAATTTTCTAATAAGAATTAAAGACAAAAAACCTGTAAGTGCCATCTGAAATTTGATCTGATTTGATTTTATATATATTGATTTAATCATACACAAAACAATTCTTTAAACAAAATACATTTCAACATGGTCGAGATGAAGCACAAGCGTATTATTTTCCCCACACCATTACCACACACATAATTTGTCTGTTCCTTCAACTTATTTCTTCTTTTACATGAGACATATGCGCTTTGAGACAGTTAATCCTTTTGGCGTCTTTGACGTATTATATGTTTGATGTCATTCGTACATTTACGTTTTATATCTTAGGCCCAAAAATACATTGTGTTGCAAACAGCCATTAATTGAAATGTCATCATACATTTCTCACTTTGTTATTTTTCAATCACCTCTATTAATCATTATATTCCTTTAATAATATATTTTCTAATAATAAATTTTCTTCTAAAATTATATTTTTTTTCAGGCTTCTATGTCTTGATTCAGTAATTTCACTTTTATCACAAAGAATATGTTATTTTTATCGATTTTAACATGAAATAACTGAACATAAACAGAGAAAATGCTCATTGTAGAAGAACGTTCTAGATGGAACTTAGAGGTTTTTGCATCTGGACTCTTCAATTGTGGTTGCAATGTTCTCATTCAGGTACCACTTAGAATTATGATTAGAGGGCTCTCAAATTATTTTTATTTAACTTTTCAATTAATTTTCACAATTAATTTTTAACTTTTCAATAATTAGATGAACCGAGAAAACTTGACTTCTTAGTATGCAAACGTTTCATTTTTAAAACTGTTTGGAAATCATTAATAAACCTATGATAACTGGTGCAAATATGCCTCAAGTCTGAGTATAACGGTGAATGAAGGCCAAAACAGCTTGCCATAGGGATTTTGCATGCCAATTTATTTAGAGATATAGCGTCACCTTGTGGATAAATGCATAATAACACATGCATTGGACTACACAGATACTCAACACCAGCTTACATTCTTACATTAAACACACTTTTGCATTTTTCCAAATGAAACTTCACTGAAGGAATTTAGCTTTTTTTCAGAAACAAAAATAAAACCCTTTGAGAATCTTTGTTATTATTAAAAAGCATCAGGCATACTGGCTTCATGAGCAATAGACGTTTGAATTAGTGTTTGCAGTTTTATATTGATAAGTTATCGCACAACAGGGTACTCAGTGTATTCAGTCTTGAGTTTTAAACATTTTACAGTACCTAAATTCAGCTAATACTACAGATATTTAATCAAATAAAACCATAGATTTTGTGTCATTTGTTTTACTCTTCATGATTTAAACCTTTCTGATTCCTACTTCTGCTGAAACGAAAGAGTAATATATAAAAATAAGAACTGAATGTCACGTGTTTGTTTCATACCAGTTATTTGCAAAATTACCATTGTTTTCCAGATCAAGGCACGGACGGGGTTCGAACCCGCGATCTTCGGTTTACGAGACCGACGCCTTACCACTTGGCCACCGCGCCTGATGGCCACCAGGGCGGAAATAACGTTATTTAGTGTAACATAAGGCATGATCCGGTAATAATTATTAATTGTTTTGGCGATTCGTTCCCCATTTGCTCTTACGGCTGTACTTCATGCATATTACAGAAGCAATATTGTGACCCTGATCAGATTATTTTCTCAACAAAATTGGACACATCCGGTACGTCAGACCTGCGAATTTCCGGATGTGAAAAAAAATCTTCACGAACTTTATAAGATTAACGTTAGCATTGGTATTTTCTAACAGATTAAAAACTAAATTAAATATTATGATTACATAATCTCAATCTGGCTTCTTAAATGGTAGACATATTAGTAACAATATAAGATTGGTCTTGGATCTAATTGATTATGCAGATTTTATTAAATCTAAAGCTATAAATTTTTTCTTGATTTCTACAAAGCGTTTGATACAATAGAACATAAATTTATTTTCCACTGTCTCAAAAAAAATTTGGCTTTGGCTCAACATTCATTAATATAATAGAGATGTTTTATAAAGAAATATCAAGTTCGGTTATTATTAACATGTTTACGACTCAAATATTTACATTAAAAAAGAGATGTCCGCCAGGGTTGTCCTATTTCCCCTTTTTTATTTATTTTAGTTACAGAATCACTCTCTATATCTCTTATTAATAACCAAAACTTAAAAGGCATAAATATTTTTGAAAGAGAAATAAAAAATTCTCAACTGGCAGACAACACCACTTTATTTTTAAAAGACAGTTCTCAAAATACCGAAGCCATAAAATCAATAAAAACATTTTCGGATGCTTCAGGTCTTCATTTAAACGTAGATAAATGTGAAATCTTAACTCTGTATGACAGCAGTGACTTGCTATTAAATGGTATACCAGTAAAAAAAAAACTGTTAAATATTTGGGTATATATATTAATAAAAATAACTTACAGAGACAAAAACTAAATTTTTCTTCTAGAATAAAAAACTCAGAATATCCTCAATCTATGGCTACAAAGGGATCTATCCATTTACGGTAGAATTCTTATAGCAAAAAATGAAGGTCTCTCCCGCCTAGTATATCATTTATTGTCCTTAACTGTTAATGATAAAATAAAAAAGATATAAATTATTTTTTGATTTTATTTGGAAAAATAGGTCTCATAAATTAAAAAAATGCATTAGTTTCACTTAACAAAGACAAAAGGGGATTAGAAGCTATTGAAATAAATAAATGCTTTCAGAGTCAGTTGGACTAAAAGATGTTTAACTAGTTCAAATTCAATATGGTTTTTTATTCCCAATTATTGGTTTAATAAAATTGACGGCCATTTATTTTGAAATGTAATTTTGCTCTGAATAAACTCCCTATAAAATTGACAACTTTAACCAGCAAGCATTACTGGCTTGGAAAATATGCTATTCCCATAACTTTTCTCCACATAAAACATTTTTATGGAACAGCACTGATATTACAGTTGAGAGTAAATCCTTATTTTTTTCTAATTGGTATGACAGAGATATATTACATTTATTTTCCTTATTTGATGACTTGGGGAACTTGTTAACTTATGAACAGTTTATGAAAATTCATCAATTTCCAATCCCATTCAAGAAATTTAACATTATTGTAAATGCTATCCCAAAAGAATTAATACATCTAACAAAATATCATATTTTATATATAAACAAAAAAAACATAGAACCCTCCTTATTATTAGAAGGTATTAGTGTATATGATAAGAAATGCAACAACTAACTTATCCTTCGAATTCTCCTACAAAAAAATCTAATTGCTCCAAGAGGGAAATCATATTGGTCAGCATTAATAGAGGATATTGATTGGAAAAGAACATGGCTTCTCCCATATAAATATGTAATCCCAAACAAAGCAAAGGAAATCCATTTTAAAATTCTACACAAAATTTACCCGGTCAATGCATTTATCTCAAAATTTACTGATATTGAAGATACTTGTTCCTTTTGTCAGGAAAATGAGGAAACTTTGACTCACATGTTTTTTTACATGTAAAATCTCAAAAAAGTTTTGGTCTGAACTATATAATTATTTGAATAAATCCCAATCAACAAAACGAATCTTTAAACTGAAAGATATTATTTGTTAATATTCTAATCCCAAGAACAAAAATGAAGAATATGTATATTTTTTTACATTATATGCAAAATTCTTTATCCACAAACAAAAATTTCTTAAATCCTCTCCCTCGTTTGCCCATTTTTTAATTCCAAATTCCATGCTTAAAGCTATACGTCTATCTAACAACAAAAATTCTGCATGTTAAAACTTATGAAAATATCATGCTTCCAGTATGTTAGTAATTAATGCTTTCTGTATTTTTTATTAGGGAC